TACAATCATTACTTCGTTCGATAATAATTCCTTCTGAAATCTCGTTTCGTCGAGATCACTCGATCAAGTTGGAAAGGTTAATCACGAACTATGCGGAGAGTACGGCATTAAGGATGACCTCGACTGCACAAAACTATATGCTTCTGTTATATGCTTCACAATGACGCATGAGACAGAATACATGTACTTAGCAATTTTTCATGACTAGGATAGTATGCTAATACTTATTGTTAGTGACATAGTGACCAGATAGTGAATTGTCTTTTCAAATACACTCAAATATCACTTCTATTAACTGAGATATTTTCACGGTAATAAAATATATAATACATTACTATATAGAGATATTAATGTTATTATAGAATTAAATGTCTGGTTGCAAAGTAAAAGGCAAGAATATAATATGAAACGAGCATGTCTAGTTTTTATCTAATTATTCAATTCCAAATAAATAGTTTATTAACGCTAATTTTACCTTCGTTTCGCTCATCTGTAAAAGGAGAAGCAAACCGCGCCAGAATTAGTTAAACCAGTCTATTATTGCGACACCTCAGTAATTTGTAATATTATGGTACATGTCTAGCAAATAAAATAAACTAATACTTCATTATAGTTTTAATTAATTTTAATTAAAATATTGCTTTATGTAAACCATAACTTTTAAGTCTTGTAAGCATACAATTTGCTGGTTTTTCTTAGGAAGTACATGAGAATTGTCAGTTCCCCCGAAGCAATCAAGACGTATTATTCAAAATAATTAATGAAGATATTCAGTACGCACATATTGCACGTACAACATTAGAATTACAAAGAGCAAAGACTTGCGTGACCACGAAAAAGTGCCTGGCCCAGCGAAAAAGTGCCTGGTCCAAAATCGTTGCGAGGGCAAGCACGTAATATCCGATCTTAAGTGATCTTAGCACGTTCACTTGGGCATCCGCTTATGCTCAAGAAACAGTTATCTTTTTATATCGTAGAGAAAGAATGAAAGAGAGAGAGAGGAGAGAGAGAAAAAAAGTGAGAAAGAAAAAGAGAGGGAGAGAATGCACTATCGTAAAACTAGTTAACGGAAACGATAATTTACGCGATGACTGAGACTGCCTCACAGTAATAAAAGTATAATAAAGGCGATATTTCAAAACAGATTGATTGTTAAATAAACGGAAATGCATAATGTTTTGTAATAGAAAATTTGCATCACCAAACATCCGCGCGCATTAAACAATCGTCAAATAGTATTTTAAATCTCATCCATTAAACTTTACATTAATTAAACTTTGTATGAAGAGTAGAAAGAGATAAAAAGTTTTCTTGAATTTGTATAAAAGGATTCTTTTAGAAGTACGTTCTTAGTTTTCAATCAAGCGATACGATCAGTAATCGATGATAATTAAATATTGAAAACGCGATATTCAATCCACATTCTATTCAATACTTGGACAATACCGGTGTTCAATAGTATAATTTAATTATATGTAATTTATAATAATGCAGTAAATAGAGATATTAAAGAGTTTTTGCAATACCGTTTATCCTAGATACGGTGAACGCTAAAGTCACGTTATCCTTTTCTTAATTAGGTGTGAAGAAAAAGATAACGTGACTTTAGCGTTCACCGTATCTGGAATAAACGGTATTGCAAAAACTCCCTATTTACGCTCGAAATTCAGAGAAAAAGAAATAAATATGAAAACAAGTAATATAGAAAATTACGTGAACTAAATTAGCTTGCGGTAACGTTAGTTTGCGGTAACGGATCACAAAGAAGATCACATCATTTTAACAAAAATAAACAAAGAAGACCGTATTCGGTCAAAGTAGATCTTAGCGCCTAATATTTTTATGTAAATTTTACAATTTTCATTTTAAGCAAACAACGCGCCGATTATTTGTTGATATTAAAATAGTCTTAAATTAAAGCTGGAGTACATAATGTCAACAAATTAAATTGACAAGCAATTTAATATCGCACGAAAAAAATGGTTTTGCTGAAGTGTCTAATTAAATGAAACAAATTAATTAAAAATAAGAGTAAAGAGCCAAATAGTTTTAAAAAATATAAGTATAATTAATTCAGAATTCGCAATATAGTACATTCAAACAGAGTAAACTTAACAGTAAATATAAAATTCACAAAAATTCGCATACGTTTCGACACCAATCGGGTCATTTTCAATGTTAAATTTATATAAAATTAAATGTGTATGATAAAATTGACAAGTCACAAGTATAAAATTAAAAGTGTATATAATTGTACATGGATCTTCTTTTGTGTTTTGTTTCGCAATATAAGTTAGATAAATCTTAACATAGATGTAATGAAAAATCTACAGTCCATAAAAATCAGCATGTTTTTAAGTCCATTATTAAATCCATTATTGAAAAAAAAAAATTTGTCTAAATTATAGTTGTAAAAATTTTTCGACTGTTCTCTTTGAAATAAGGATAAGAAATTTCATATATTTTCAACAAACTTATTTTCAGATCTGTGCATCTAGCTAAATTTTTAAATAAATACTTCAACAAAATCTTTCTTTTCATATATTGATATTAATGAACATCTTTAAAATACTGTAGATAAACAATTAAACAGTTAGAAGAAGATTATCGCCTTTCTTGATAAAACGACAATTACAAACGAATAATCCCCTTTTACAGCAATTTATCGAAAGAAAAATACGCGGAGGGGATCCGTAAAGAAATCTCGTCGGCGTGCGATATTATTCAAAGTACAATTCAGCCGGATAATCTCGGTGAGCACAATCTCACGCGTGGTCGGAGCATGTTGCATAAATCTCACGTGTATATACGCGCGCGTAGATGTCATCGATCGCCGATTCAGCCGTACGCGTGCCGATTCAAAATTCAAGATTCGCGCTGAAGGTAAGAGAGACAGCGAGATACCTGTCTGCGGAGGGCGCGTTCATAGCAGAATCGATAACGGCGAGGAAGGTATAGCGGTATAGCGCGTCGCGGGGAGGCCACGACGACGATCGCGACGCACGTCGCAGGTAAATGGGTCGTGTGACGTGCCTGCTCGCGCGCGCGCGGACGCCCGCGTTCTCCATGCACACAATTCAGCACTCCGGCTCCGATTTTCAGCGCGAGAGCGCTGAGAATCATCGCGACCGGTTTCCATCGATATCCCTCGAGCCTCTGGCGGATCGTAATTGTCTCTCTCTCTCTCTC